GACTAAAATTCAAACTTGGCTCTCCGATTTCTCACTTGAGCAACTATCCATTACATCACCTGCACATTCCACCCAGTGAGCACTGACCTTACTTAGTAATGATGCTCTATCATAGCTAGGTTGTTAACCATTACCCTACTCTGAAGTACTTGGTGAGTAGAATTGATGGCTTATGACCTAAGACTCAAATCTGGTATGGTTCCATTTCTGGCTTATATATGAAAGTGTATATATTAAACATTTAATCAGTATAGTTTTGTCTGGCACAGGGCCACAGTAGTTGAGAACTCAATAAAGATTGAACTCATTACTAGACTAGTTTACTGACTTTCACTACAATAGATGTCTAAATCAGTGGCAAAATATTTACAAATATTATTACCTAAGATCTTTAGTAATAAAATAATTGGTTAAAAACAAGAGTAATGCATTTTGACAGTAAAAGGCTTCTTAGCTTATGGTGAGATCACAATCAAACATCAGTTCCAGTATGATGACCAAAGTTAAGCAATGTCAAGCCTGGTCAGTAGCAAGTTGAGTGAATACCAGCTTGGATGTGCGGGTGATGCAATGGATAATGGCTCAGAAGTGTTAATCAGAGAACTGAGTTCTAATTCCATTTGGGTTTGTTATATTCACTTACACACAAATACCCTTGGGAAAGGTATGAATTCACCTCTTCTCTCCCATCTATGGATTAATTAGTAAAACTTGTATCACTAAACCATTATCTCAAAAAAAAAAAAAAAAAAAAAAAAAAAAAAAAAAAAAAAAAAAAAAAAAAAAAAAACAAATCTTACAATCTATAAATATTTTCTGGTTTTATTTCAGGAATCAAATATGTATTTTATATTTAGTGATTTTTTTTTTTTTGACAGTTGTTTTAATTCATTCTTTATAATGGGGAACACTAGGACATGTGAATTTGAAAAACTTTTTTGTTTAATTTTATTTTATTTCTTTATCCATTTTTATATTCTCTTGAGATGTCCTGTAATCACTTTCGTTATAGAGACAAGAGAAAAAGAAATAGCTCTTGAAATTATTTTTATAGTTATTTCATGCTACTAGGTCTCACAGTTTTACTGTTGCCGTAGCTAAATGCAACCACCACTTCTATACTAATAGTTCTTTTCTTGCACTTGTGGAACTCCCTTCAGATTTCTTGCTTCTCTGATAACTACAATCATCAAAAATTTAAATACAATGTTAATCACAATCTTCTGTCTTCTTGAACCCTGTTCCTTTATTTAGAGACTTCAAAAATTAACTTAAACAACTCTGAAATTGAAATCATGTGTAGAGACAAGAGTGTAAGTGATAGCTTAAATGGTGGTTGGCATGGAAAATGGAATCAGTAAGCAGGGTTCAAATTCAAGCCTTGTATGTTGCATTAATGCTTGCATTAGTGAGTGCACTTGTGAAAGGCATTTAATCCATTTCTTCTCCCACAACTATGGGTTCAATAGTAAGATAGACTATGCTCTATCCAGTCAAAGAGGAAGATTAACTCTGAATTCAAAACTATGATGAAGGCAATAGGAAAATAAAATTTTATCAGGATTATTCAAGCAAAAAAAACTAATAAGTTCTTTTCTTGCACTTTGTGGAACTGCCTTCAGACTTCAAACAAAAAACTCAACAAAGGTTTAATAAATAATAACGGAGATTGTGGCTTTAAAAAAAATATTTAAAAAAAAAATGGATTCAAGTTTCATGAATAGTTTTTTTTGTTTAATCTGGTTTAATCGTTTTTTTTGTCTATAACATTGTGTGGTTAAAAATAGCTTGCAAATAAATAAAAAGTATTTATTTACTTACTTTCATATGTTAACAATATATATCGATTTTTTGCAGGATTGATTTGATTTTTTACGGTTTATCAACCTTTTTTTGCAGGTTGTTTAAAGCCAGAAAATATTTTTATAAGAATTTTTTTTTGGGGGGGGGGGTTAATGATTTATTGGTACAAAAAAAGTCCTACTAAAGGTGGACGATTCATACCTTTCCACAAGAAGAGTAGTTGCGCGTAAGTGAATATAACGAACCCGAATGGAATTGGAACTCGGCTCTCCGATTTCCAATTCTGAACCGTTATCATTTACACCACCGGCACATCCAAGCTTACCAGCACCTTGTATATAGGAACCGATCACGCATCTAGGTCCTCAGGGCTCGATGTTGCTTAACTTCGGTGATCATACGAGAACCGGTGTTTCAACGTGATATGGATGTAAGCCGATTTTGTGCAGGAAATATTTACGTTCCGAAAAATATTTGAAGGTATAAAAAAAAAAAAAAAAAAGGTCGACGTATATAAAATAAAAAAGCAATCCATATTCGGATTCCTGTGTAGTTTTCAAAGCTAGCATAGTACACAAAACACAGTAAAAAAGCAGAAAGCAAGTTTGTTTGTTTTTATTACTAGTTAATAAAGAAAGTATTTTATATAAACTGCGAAGTAAAAAAATAATTCAATATTTATGTTCAGAACATATTAAAAAAAAATTAGAAAACAAGAATTTTCAGGATTACCATATCATTTTTGGATATATTTTTAAATTGAATAGTAAAAGCTCTCCAAACCTCTTTCTTTAGTTAAAAAAAAATAAATACAAATGGGCTGTTATGGGAGAAGTACGTATGTTTATCTCGATATTGTAATAAATAAAAATGAAATGTAATATACGACAAAAAAAAAAAAAAAACCTGAGCATACGTGTAAGTGTTTTGTGTCAAATCTCAAAACAAACTTCTTGTCAAATATATATTTTTTTTTTATTGCAAGTGCCCATTGTTTCCGGCGAAGTTGTTAATTTTTTTTATTTCAATGAAAATTAAAAAAAAAATTTTAATCAAAAAAAAAAAAAAAAAAAAAAAAAAAAAAAAAGTTGTGCAGGTCTAACGGCAATTTTGTTGAAAGTTTATTATTATTATTTACTACTTCCTTAAATAAAAAAAATAAAATACAGTTGTTTCTTTCCTTCTCTCTATCGCCAATTAATTACTCTTCTTCTCGTTCAAACGATTTTCAAATTTATTTTCTAGAAAACTCATGAAAAGTTTTTTTTTTCTTTTTTAAGTTTACATTTGTAACTTGTTTGAAAGAATTTCAGATAAATGAAACGTAAGAAAAATCACTAAAAAAATAAAAAATCGAAATATAAATTTTTAAAAATTCAGAAAAAGTGAGGATTGGAGTGAATCAAATTCAAATATTTGACAAGTTTTCTTTGGAGTTATGAATTTATTGTCAAACAATGACTGGATCTCTTCAAGTAAACTAAAAATAAAATGCCGTTTTTTAGCTTTTCTTTTAAAAAAAAAAAAAGATTTTTATCCCACAATACAACTGTTTTATTGAAGTTTTTCACAGTAAATCTATGAATAAATAATTAATTCATGAAAAATTGTTCGTGCAACTTCTTTAGTTAGAAAAAAAAATCACACAATAACGCACTCACAAAATCACTAGTTTTAAGTAACTTTTAACATTTTTTAATTCAGTTGGTAGAATTACTGAAATTGGAAAGAAAGGCTGGAGAAAAACAAAAAAAATACAAAAGAGAGGGACATGAATTTATGATGAAAAATAAAAATCTTCCTACATTTGATGGAAAACTAACATTTTGTACAGTAACTTGCAAAAAAAAATATCAGTAATTAAAATTCAAGGTAAAATAAAATAAATGACAGAATGAAAAAAGTTTAAAATGGGGCGGAGGAATTAAAAATGGTTTTCAATTCAGTGTTGTCTATTTTTTTTATCAAATATAGCGAAAGTTTTTATTTTTTTCAAGCTTATTTAATAAATCATAAACGAAAGAGTAAATTTAATCTTAGAAAATCCTTAGCAAAAGTAATTTTTATGGGGGTTGGAAACAAATTTAAACAATAAAAATGGCAAGTAAACAGAAAATTTCAAAATTTTTGTGTTGTTTGAAAGTTTTACATTTTTTAAATGAGCAAAAAAAAATCTCAAGTTACTAAAAATACAAAATAAAACTAATTTGTTGATGTTTTAATTGTAGATATGTTCTGAGAGTTTTAAAACAAAATAAAAAGTATACTTTTTTTGTTACAGTAGTTTTTTACGTATGATGATGAATGAGTCCCATTGTTAAAAAGTTTCTTAAATTACCTTTTATTTTAAATATTGCTCATAAATATTTTATCGATATTTTTGAAGTAACAAAAAATAGAGGAATCGAATTTCAATCGAAAAAAATACATTTATTTTAATTTTTAAAATATGAATTTAGCCGAGCGCTAACGAAAATAATAAAGGAAAAGGATTTTTATTTTACTAAAACTTCCTCCCAAAATCTTGTTTGTATTAATTATTATCTATCATTAACATTTGTTTTAGTTTTTTTTAGTTAATAATTATTGAAAACAAATTTGACAAAATATTTTCTGGAATTTTTCCAGACATTTTTCTGCTACATGTTTTTCTTTATATACAACCTCGAAAAGATCGAAGATAGATACAATTTTTAAGATCAATGAGTAATTATAAGTTAACTATGTTTTAAAGATTAATTTTAAATGTTAAAACTAAAAATTTCTTGACCAGTTTTCTTTGAAAAAAAAAATAAATAGGCATTAATTTAAAGAACGGTAAAATCAGCTTTGACGAAAAATAAAACTCTAGTCTAAAAAATCTAAAAAAAATAAGACATTTCCATTATTCCCGTTTTCATTTTTCCTTAATTTGTCTATTACGGGGAACAGCTAAAAAATACTTATTCCATGAAGAAAGAAAGAAAAATCAAGTTAAATAAATAAATATCCAATACATCAATCCTAGAGCTACATACACAGTATTTTAGCAATAAATAAGGAGGGGTCAATTTACAACATAACATAAAGCAAAACTGATCCCCTACTTTGTGATACACAACAGTAACACGAACCTAAACATAACATGTTTTTTTTTTGTTTTTTTTTATTATTATTTTTAATAAAAAGGTTTCTTTTTATATAAAAGCCATACTTACCGCCATCACAAGTTCAAACGGGTACTTGTAAACCCGGACCGGCGATTGGTATTTATGTACCATTTTAGAAATGTATTAAGTTTAGTTTTGATATACACACAAGGCGGCTTAGTATTCCATCAACTGATAGTCGCCCTGTTTCCTCGTACGAGTCAATCCTCGACTCTGACAAGCGCAATGTTTGTTTGCGAGTCACTACAAAATGTACGGAAGCCCAAACTAGACATAAATGTCTACTCGTTTCAATTTCTTTGTGTTTAATAAAATTGGATTAAGTAAAACATGGATTACTTATCAATTATTTTAGATATTAAAATATACTCGATTATTGGTATGAAAAAGGTATTACAAAGTATATGTGCGTGTGTGTATGTATGTAAAATTAATTATGTATCTTTATAATTCCTAATTAAATAAGATACCTGGTTTATTTTATTTTTATATGTTTTGGTTTTAATTTTCAACATTCCAGTCGGTGTAGTTTCCAACCGTCTTTTATGGCTGCTAGTAAGAGAGTTTTGATCTATTTTTCACTGATTGAAAAGTAGGTTGTGTATGAATTGACACTGCAAGCAAGAATCAATCCCACTGGCTGACCCAATGGCTAATTTCTGCCTTTTGCAAATAAATCTAATAAAGAGGGAAATCCTTAAGAATTGTACAATAATGTCTTAATAAAGTTTTAAATTCACAGCTTTATTTCATTTGCTTTTTTATTCTGTATTTCCATTTATTAATTATACGAGGGGTGCTGAAAAGAGAGAAAGGACATAAGAATCAATACTGCATGGCGACAGTCAGTTTTCACAGCACAAGCGATCTTCCAACTCTGTATGTATCTAGAGATAAAGCCTTTGTAGATACTTACAAACGCTCTGTATCCGATATTAATCACGCTTGCCCATAAATATAGGAAATTTTAAACAAGATAGACATAGACACATAACATATACTGATACGATGATATTAGTTGTGTACGTGGTTGTTACTATTTACTCATCTTAGTTTAGTCTGGCACAAGGCCACATAGATGGGGCACCCAGGATAGAACTCACTACTGAATAATAATGACTATCCAGACTACATCGTTTTTGCCTGCAAAGGCATAGGATATTTGATCTTTGGGCATGTTTCTTTTTATAGTAAACAATCTTATTATCCGAAACGCTCGTAGAAACGGACATTTGATATTTAAAAAAAAAAAGAAAAAAAAAGGTCTATACACTTAAGTAAATTTGATTACTCACAATTTACAGAAGTAAAGGAAGAACGAGGATATTGACGAAAATAAATTAGCATGTAGTTTCACATGTTGGTGAGTCTTTTGATCTCTAGCTGCTTCGTTTGACGCTTTAGGGAAAGGGAGTTGGTTGGCGTGTAAACGAGTTGGCATTTTTGAGTTGACTGACTACGACCTGTTGCAAAGTCTCATATTTATCTGTCGGTAGATAGGTAGGTACAAATTCTAAAGATTTAGAATTTGCTTAGACCGACAGTGATTGATTGAACATTCTCTTTTTATTATTCCTTATCTGTTTTGTACTACATTTTATTTATATCTTATTTTGGTAATTTTTCCAGGAGCCTATTGTTTATATATATATATATATATATATATATATATATATATATTGATCCTCTTTATTATATATATATATATATATATATATATATATATATATATATATATATATATATTGATCCTCGTTTTGTATGTTTTTTCATATGCATCCGAAATTTACATTTTTTAGAACGTTGGCGATTATTCTCCTTCAAATTTTGCTTCTTTATTATCTGTGAATTGTCATGGCAACGGGAAGACTCTTTGAAGAGAGTGGAATGACCTACCATTGCCTTGTACAATTGTTAAGCAATGTCAATCCTAGTCAGTACTTAGATGGGTGACCGTTTGCGCATACCATGTACTGTAAGATTGAATGTGCGGATGGTGTAATGGATAACGACTCAGAATTGGAAATCAGGTTCGTTATATTCACTTACGAACAAATACCATTGGAAAAGCTACGAATCCAACTCTTCTCTTATCAGCTATGGGTTAATTAGTAGAACTTGTATCAGTAAATCAATAATATTTTTTTTAAATCTTACAATCTAAAATATATAATTTGGCTTTAAATAACCTGCAAAAGGTTGGTAGGCAGTAAAAAATAAAACAATCTCCTCGGATTTTGAATTTGGTTTTTGAGTACTCCATCACACAGACTGGCTGCCAGCCATGGCTAAAGAACCGAGTTTAACTTGCTATTTCAGGCATAACTGTGAAGATGTCTACATAGTTATTGTAAAAGAAAAAAAAAGTATTTTAATAACTAATTACTTCATTGTTTATATTATTCAAACTTATAATATAAATATGCTCTAAACAATGGTAAAAGTGCTTTTCTAGTTATTTTACTATGATAGAGATTCAACACGTTCATGGAAGAGTTTGTTGCGGGCCGTTGTTTGAGAGATAAACACGTGTCTCCGGAAATGTCCACAACAAACATGGCAGACTCGGGATGTGAGTCTATGTAAATAAAAGTAAAGAAATGTAAAGAAACGACAAGAACCAATATGTATATGTACAAACAAATGATAATGTATTCACAACAAAGGTATGCAAGTGACAAACACAAAGATGTGTCAAATGAATACGAAAACCTTTTTGGTCCAAAGTATGTGTAGTAAGTGAGTGTGCGCACGTACGTGTGTGTGTTGCTGTTGTTCACGCGTTTCCTAAAAGGGAAGCGTGATCTCCGCGACAGATTTACATGTTGACTTGTGAGCGGAAAAAGTAAGTAGGATATTTGCCAACCGCCCCACGCGGTCAGATGTGGCACAAGGCCGTATTTAATGTGGGCTATCCGAGCCCGTAGGCTCGGGCAAAAATTCGCCGTAGACCCCGTAAAAAATGGGGTTGGGTAGCTGTCTACCACCCCAGACGAGACTCTGCCCTTCGACATAGCCTCGTCTGGGTTTCTTTCTGGCAGAGAGTTCGACTAGCTTAACTGGAGACGAATCTCCAACTGAAGACCGGAAAAAGTAAGAAGAGAACGAGAAAAATATCGCAGAGTATTTATAGTCCTGAGAGAGAGCGTCCCCTAGGAGTAGTTTCGAAAATTAGGAGGAGTCAACCATGGGACAGCACGTTCATCGATTAAGCGCAGGCGAAAAGACCGACAATGTTGATTTGTTCGGAAGAACGAACAATCTCTTTTGAGTTGAAATTATGTTAATAGGGTTCTTGGAAAGAGAGGAAAATATCTAGGTTTTCTTCATTCTCCATGGCCTTCATAAGGCATTAGCATATCCGTGATATATTAACACGTTTAATATATATGTTAGGAATTCATTTTATTAGTTATTCTAGTCCTTCCTTCTGTTATGTTAACAGTTAACATGGCAGAAGGAAGGACAAGAATAACTAAAAAAAAATGAATTCCCAAAATGGTTAATAACTAAAAACATTTTAGATACAACATTGGAATGTAGAAATATGTCAAATCAAAAATCCAGTATAAATATACATTCGTCACAATTGGTAACACACGTAGAAATTGAAAACACATGAAAAAAGCATAGAGCATGTGAAATGACGAATGAATAGAATGTACTACTTGCAATATTCTTATGAGGTGCATGACACAGCCTTTGTAATATCTTTTATGTTATTATTTAAGATGCATTACATTCTCTCGTCTGCCGAACCGCCGCTAGCTATCAGATATGTTTCCTTCGAGCAACAACCGAACTATTCTCACAAAAAAACACGACTCTCAGCCTCCTTAGAAAGTTTGTAAATTTGTCCTGCCAAAAGAGAGATAATCACCTTCTACATCTCTATAATATTTTTAATAGCATTCTTAAACCTGCTTAATATATATATATATAATATTTTTGCCACACAAAAGAGGAGGTTCAGAAAGAATCGCCTTGTTTATCACAGGCTCATCAGTGAGAGGCAAGATCCGCACAAAAGAGACGAATTTTTTCATAGTGGGTAAAAGTAGTGGTGCTTGAAAGAAGCGCTAGATTTTCAGCGTCGTGTCATCCTTCGCCCGAGTTCTGCGGATTGGCTGTTGACGGAGGGGGGCGTTTCCACGTTTCATGTTCTAGATTGATATCCTGTATTTGCACTACTCAACAAGACTCCATACTAGCATACTTAACCCGCAGATGTATGGGGACCCCAAAATCTTTTTAAGTGCTTAGGGCCCCTATTGGTCTTAATCCGGTCCTTGATACTAGAAACAGTAGACATCCATAGAAACACACCCAAAACGCGAAAGATGCACGCGTGTTGCTTTACAGAAAATAGGATTTTAAAGAATTAGAGTTGGGATTACAAATTTTAGTAATTAGTAAATCTATTAGTAATTTATTAAGTCAGAAATCTCACTAAAAAAATCCTAATAATTGTAAATCGTATTTCCGGCAGGCCGAAGCGCTGGCGTAGTTCACAAAAGATCTGTTTTCATAAATGCTCTGTCAATGGCGACGCCTGACAAACTTTTTATTCAATTTATTTATTTATTTATTTTTATTTAAGGACACGTTTACATAACATCGGATAGAAATATTTGAAATTTTTAGACCACATAATAAGGGAAGAGAACTTGTAAAATTTGACACTCACAAGACATTGAAGGCAAGTGGGACAGAGGAAAGCGGCACATAACCTACTTAACGAGCCTGAGTTGGCAGAACAAAGATTACGAGAAATAGCGAAAAGACAAATTTTGTAAGAGCTACAAAGGAGGAAAATTGTGGAGAGCCATGATTGTCCATGTTTTGAAAGGACACGTCACATAAAAGAGGATTTTATAAAACAATTTCTGACATTACGTATTATTGTATAATCAGAAATTTTATTCACCTTAATTTTGACGCCGCTGTTTTTAACCCATTTTAGTAAGAGTCAAGTTTTTCTAATATTTACACAACAATATCACAAGTTTTGTTTGAACCTGTACGCGTCCACCCTCATAAAAAATTGTTGTGCAAGCGCATTCGAATACACACCCTTGAACAACGACTGATATCGGAGTCACTGCACAAAC